TAATTGATTTTATATATTAACCTATACACTCACCAAGTTTTTAACACACAGTTCCTATGTATCATAGACTTTGTACCCTTCATGTTTACATAGTGTTTTAGACTTGAATGCCCTTGTCTCCCATGTCAGTGCCTAAAGCAGGCCAGTGTGAATGTCATGGCCTTCGTGAACTCCTCTGACACTGCCCCAGCTTGTTCAAATAGTCTTTCCTCAGAGAGTCTCTATTAGAGCACTTTCCACTTTCAGTCTTGAATGAGCCATTCTTTGAAGGCAAGGGCTATACTTTATCTCCTTTTTATCCCCACAGTTCCTAGCACAGTGCTTTGATTCTCAGTTTAGGAACGCATCTTTTCAACATTAATCTCAGGATGTATAGGGAATTAAGTGTCTCTGGGGTGAAGTGGGGCTGGCGGAAATTCTTAGAGGCAACTTCAATCAATTGGCAACAATCCCTGAAGTGTATCTTAAAATACACTTAAAAGCATATTTTAAGGTTATGTTTACTAGTGCATGATCTACTTAAATGTGGCTAAGGCTTTTGCTGCCATTTTTGAATGTTTGTAGATTGTTTGTTCTTATTTGCTTTTTTGTTTTCTAGGTGGCAGACTGTGCTTGGGATGAAACCATAAAGATATATGATCCTGTTTGTCTTACTATGCCTGCTTGAGATATACTACTCCAATCAAAAACAAAGCATATTGGCTGAAGGACTACTTAGTGGGAAATAAACTATTGATAACATAGACATTATGCTTTTATATGCTATTCGGATTTCAAATTTTACAAATTACCCTGGAATCAGTTTTAAGGCAGCTGATAAAGACTTTGGCTCACTATTTAAGCCTGGCACATAAGCCATATTTCTTAAAATCCTAAGGAATAAGTGATGTTATGGTATATATTATATGATTTATTAAAATGTAACCTCTGTATTATAAAATGAATTAAAATATGGGAGATTCATAGATTATATTGATAGTAATATATTTTGTTTTTAATTTATCAATTTTTATGTAAAATGTAATCACTGCTATTGATAAAAATAAAAATAAACTGCATCTCTTGATCACTTGTGATTTTATGACATTCCCAGCAAGGTTACTTTTTCTAAAATGGTGTATATATGGGTACAATACTATATGTAATATAGCTATATCTATGGTTCAATAACAGGGCTCTAATGTAGATTTGATTTATTCAGCAGTTATTCATTGAGCATCTATGTGCTTGACACAGGATGAATAAGATTTCATCAAGGACTGGTGCCTGCTTTAAGAGCATGGAATGCTGTGAGTTCAGAGCTTACAAGTTTCTTTACATTTATTCAAATATTTTTAGATATACCAATGACCATTTCTCTCTTCTCTACTATCAAATTTTTTAAAAACTGGCCACGGGGCAAAAAGTTTTAGGCCCTACTAAGGTTTCAAGCAATTCCCCTTGAAACCAGCCCCAAGTAATACTCTAAACCCTCTTCATTACCTCCCTTAGTCTCCTTAAAAAATCTCTAGGTTCAGATGACCTGTAAAAATATAGATTAAAAGGGAAAAATTGGTCAAACAAAACTTTGAATAATATTTATATTTTTATGTACCATTAAAATAAAACGTGTTATAAATGGCAAAAATTGTCCTTAAAATTTGACAAGTTTTTGAGCATTTTTAAACAGCAAAATATACTTGTAATCAGAATAAAAATAAAACATGTATATCATCTAATTTACATATTTCTTTGTTTACTTGTTTCAGAAAAAAAAATGGTAGCTTACAAAATACAAAAACAAGATTGCATGAAAGATAGAACAAGAGGAGACATATAGTCCAAAGTCTATAAAAAAGTTGCTTCTGGCAGCAAAATGGGAAGCATGGTCAAGCACCCAATTCATCCTAGTCCCAAGCTTGGCCCTAGCACCATGCCTGACACACAGAAGGTGCCCAATAAGTATTTGTTAAATGAGTGAATGGTCTCAGGGAAAGTGAATTTATCATAAGAAACAAGGAGCTCCAACACATTCTTAGTGTCACTATGGTGAGGTTCATAGAGCTGTTTCTTATTGCAATGAAATGACTTATTTATTTTCCTTTTAGAATGCAGGAGATTTTTATTAAACTAATCTACCATGTATCTTCTGAAACAAACACTTGTGATATAAAAATTAACATCTCTCTTGATTTATTTTTTGCCTCTATTTTGGAGATTTTAGAGATGTTTACAGCACTAACTTCATAATATTTAACTCAGGTTCTTGGAGTCTCTCAACAGGAATGAATGTGGGTGAACATTTATCCAGTGGGTTCCCTCGAGCTAAGATTGGAAACCTAGAAGGAAAGGAGCTGGATTTTATCCTGAAAGAGAAGGCACAAGATGTGTAAATACCTGGTAGTTTACAAGCCATGCAGTCTCTGGACTTTAAGAGGACAACCAGTCTTCCTGCCAGGTTGGGAAAGTCAGCATTTATCTCCTGGCTACCGAGCTCATAGTTTTTATCCTGTCTGTCTCCCCCAGTTCCTTCTGCACCTGCATTGTCAGCACGCACCAAAGAGTGATTGCAGGAAAAGACACTCAGCTCACTGAGTACCTTCTGGATCTGAACCCTGTCTGAGATGCTTTCTGCATGTTATCCCTTTTAATCTTTATAACATCCCTGCAAGGAAGACTTCCCAGTTTTCCAGACAAGGAAACAAAAGCTCTCAAGAGCCATAATAACCAGGAAGTATGAAACTGGAATGTGAAATCTGCTGCAACTGTATCCAAACTCATGATCCTGGCAGCTTCCTTTCCCTAGGAATATTAGAAATTGACTCACCTAAAAATAACAAAGATGTGGAACTCTCTGTGACTAAATCCTGGTCATTCCTGAGGGAACTGACAAAACTGAGCCTCAAAGTCTAACGAGGTAAGAAGCTGACCCAGGATCTGGAGTAATCCTACCAAGGTACGTAACTCCCAGGAAGATGCAGGCTGAGAGCGAGCTATCCCTTCTGCCTTGGCGCTTTGCAACTATCTTAGCTATAATATGGCTCTTCCAAAATATAGCTCACTGATCTTCTTGAATGAGGTAATATCCACTTAAGTGTTTTTTACTTCCACTTTTTACTGAATCTTCCTGGATCTGTACTTCCTACCTTCCCTGCCCAGGACGCCCCAGCCTTTGCACTCACTTTTCACCTAACTCATCTTGCCCCCTAAGTGGGCTCCACCTACCCATGCTTTTTCATGCACTCAAGCTAAAGACCTGCCATCTCTGTTCCTTCCCTTCCACGTCTCCATTAGAAGACACATCAAATAGATCACTAAGTCCTGTCCCTTTTACCCCCCTAAATACTTCTTCATTCTGTCTCTTCCCTTCAGTCCAGCCACCACTGCACTAGTTCAGGCCGTCATTATGCTCTGAATGATCACAGCAGCTTCCTAAATGACGTGTCTGTTTCTAGTTCTGTGCCTTCAGAGCCATCGTCCTCAGCACAGCTGCCGGGGACTGATCTAAAATGCAACCTGATTGCATCAACTCAGTGTGAAACCTTTCTCTGCTTATAGGATTGCTAGAGGAGAAAGTTCAGGCTAACTAACCAGGCAGCTGAGGTCCTCTGGGGCCAACCCCTGCCTTTCCCTGCAGCATTGCTTCTCTCCGTGGTGTCACACACTCTGTGCTCCAGCAGCACCAAGTGTGCTCACAAATTCCCTGTGTAAATAATGCAGGTTTTCATTTCTTTGCTCAAGCTAGTCCATGGGCCTGGATTGCCCTGCTCTTGGCTTAGCAAATTCTTATGCGTCATTTGAAAGTCATGTGAAATGACTAAAGAAAAGACTGACAACATACACAAATTAAAATAGCAACACACACCATTTGCACTAAACAAGGGTATATTGGAAGGATTTATTTGCAAAATATATAACAAATAAGTTAATATCCAGAATTTATAAAAGCTTAAAATTTACTAAGAACACATCCAAACGTAAAAGTGGACAAAGGGTATCAATAGACAATTCATAGATACAGAAATGCAAATGTTTAATGTACTTCAAAAAATACTTGTTTATTATGCTTCACTTTCTTGTGCTTTGCAAACAACATATTTTTTAAAAACTGAAGGTTTGTGGCAAACCGATATTGAGCAAGTCTGTCAGCACCATTTTTCCAACAGCATTTACTTCTTGTCTCTGTGTCACATTGTGGTAATTCCCCAAATATTTCAAACATATTCATTATTGTATTTGTTATACTGATCTGTGATCAGTGATTATGACTTGCTGAAAGCGCCGATGATGGTTAGCATTTTCTAGCAATATTTTTTAATAAAGATATATGCATGTTTGTAGACAATGCTACTGCACAATTAATAAACTACAATATAGTTTAAGTGTAACTTTCAATATGCACTGAGAAGCAAAAAAATTCACTTGCCTCACAATATTTGTTTTACTGCAGTGGTCTGGAGCCCAACCACAATATCTCTAAGTAGCTCTGCTCAGTCAGACTTTGTCTCACTGACGACAGAGAAATGCAAATTAAATGAGACCTGGGGTTTTTCGTTTATCAGTTTGGCAAACATCTAAAATATTGATAATATCTAATATTGGTTAAATTGAGGGTGCTGTTAGGCACCTTTTTGGAAGGCAGTTTGGAAGATTTTAAATTACCTTTTGACCGAGCAGTCCTGATTCTAGCATTTCCTGCCTGTACCATTCCCCCCACCGCGTACTCACAGACATATGTAAGAACAAATATCCAGGGCATTTATTACATCGTTTGTAAAACCTAGATGCCTGTCTACAGAAAAAAAGTTATAGTATAGAACAGTCAACTAAAAGAATAAGGTAGAATGTTCTGACATAGAAAAATATGTGTCCTGACATGGAAAACTACATTGATGTGTATATTAGTTATCTATTTCTGTGTGGCAAACCATCAAACATTAGCGGCTTAAAAGAACGAAAATTTATTTATTTTACAGTTTCTGTTAGGTCAGGAGCCCTGGAGTGGCTTAGCTGCATTGTCCTGGCTCAGGTTTTCTCATGACATTAGTGAAGCTGTCCCCTGGGTCTGCAGACATCTAAAGCTCAATTGGACCTGAAGGATCGACTTCCAAAGTCACGCACATGGTTGTTAGTAGACATCAGATAACTCACCATGTGGGACCCTCCATAGGCTGACTGAGTGTCCCTGCAACATGGCATCTGGCTTCCTCCTGACTCTGTCATACAAGAGACAGAGAAAATTAAAGATGGAAGCCTCCATCTTTGATAACCTAATCTCAGGAGTGGCTGTATTCTATGTCACACAGATCACCCTGGGTACATGAGGGAGGGCTGAACCAAGGAAGTGGGAGATTTTTGAGGTCATCTTGGAGGCTGTTTACCACAATATGCTTTTAAAAATAGCAAATTCTAAAAATGTGAATGATATCCTAATTTTATTATTTTTTAAGGAGGGGTGTTTTGTATATATAAATATATATGCAATATAAATTGAAAGGTTCACACCAAACCCTGAACAGTAGGCAGCTCTCTGTAGTGGGCTGGTGTGGGGTTGGGGGCAGAGAATACTGAAGATAATGTGTTTACTTATTATGTATAAAGTTTGTTTTCCTGTTACATGCTATAAGGAGTCCATGTTATCTTTATAATTAAAAATAATGAAATAAGACCGTATTTCCCTGTCCTCGTCTCCCTTCAGCTAATTGTATTGCCCTCCTTAGTGCTGTCCTGTTCCTACCACAAACCCCCATATCGCACAAGCCTGCTAGTGTCACTCATATCCACCTTTGAATCCCCAAGAACTAAGTGTTCTCCTTTGAGTCCTCTGTGACTCTCAAACTACCTGGCATAAAAATAAACTTGCTCTATATGTTTGCTGAATGAATGAGCTAAAGAATTCATTAACACCAGCAATATTTATTGACTATCTCCAAAGGTAATGGGGCTTGAGTCTAGACCCTTGATAGCAGTAAGTTGAATAAGCTTTTTGAACATTCTTGTTCAATTAACCTTGTTAAACATAATAGTCTTATTTTTCCCATTTTTCTTTAGGAGCTTATCTAGTAACTGGTATGGGGGATGATATTAATTTTTTTTTAAATGAAAGCTCTGGTGAAAAAGAATTATATGCAATAAAGTGGAGAAAATGTATTGTTCTATATAGGTTTCAAATATTAAGCTAAATATTCTTGCCTAAGGATATTTAGAGAAGAATAAGATAGCTGAATCAGCCCCAAATCTTTTACCTAATGTTCATATCACAAATGGAAGCAATTATAATTGCTGGCAGAAATGAATCATTCCAAAACTAGGTCCATGCAGGCAATTTATTTTATTCACTTGCGATTCCATTTAATTGGAATGGTCCCCCAAAGCAGAAACCTATTATTTGATGACTTAAAAAAGTTAATTTTCAAAGGTCTTATCTGAATATACTTTGAATATATACTTACACGGCACACTTACACATAATTAGAAATGTTACTCCAGACCTCATTGTTTCCTGAAGAACATCAACACTTGAAAACCAAAGTCCCTGAAATAGCCCATAGCGTGCAATCACAATCACAGCTTTAGCAACCGAACTCAAGATTTCCCCAGGGAACTGGAAGGATGGGCTTTGGTATAATGCCTTCCAGTGCTGTTCCTGGAGAGTTGGCACAGTGGGCCATTTGCAGACATTTTCTTGAGTGTCCACCTGTGGTTTTGGTGGGGGGAGGTGGTAGTGGGTGGCAGGAAGGTGGCCCTACTAGTTCCTGGGCATATGAACAGGAGGACTGGTTGAGACTGGGCTCTCTCTCTCACCAAAGTGGGCTCCAAACATGTACAAAAGCTGGCCCAGATGAAGGGCTGCCAATGATGTTGCCAATTCCTGATGTAAAACTTATTTTTCTGCTGTGGTAGTAATACTCATGGCTTCAACATCTGGGCTAGAAGTGTTGCGTTCAGCACAGGGGTGGATGTAAGGAGGAGAAAACAAAAGAATAACTAGAGAAATGGGTCTTGTGGCACAGCATTTAAGGGGTAGGAGGTTGGGATCCCGGTGGGGATGGGTAGATAAGAGAAGTGAACGGAAACAGGTGGAATGCAGCGATTTCAAGCTTGCTCATTCTCACTCCATACCCTAGCCGAGTCCAAAATTTTTAAGTCACACGTACAATAAACCCTCTTATCAGCGACCTGGCTGAGCAAAAATCCCTCTGCTGCTGTTGAGTTTAAGGGTCCGGCCGTTACTTTCCAAGGAACGAAATTGAGATCAAAGGATCACACAAGTATTCGCCCGCAGAGAATAAGAACTTCCTTTTTCTCTTTGCTAAATGGGATGGAAACAGTTCACAAGTCCTGCGGGAGGCAGACGTGCCCTGGCTCAGGGAGGTGAGAGGTAGGGGTTTTCCTGCTCCGCAGAGAGGCCCGCGAATGCCTCGCAGGCTATGATTGGTTTCCGGGTATCTGGAGAAGCACTGTTAGTCTCCGCGCTGTCCAGGTCCCGGATTCCAGCCCCCGGCCCGCCGTCTCCCCTGCCTCCTCCGCCGTCCCATCCCCCTAACGCGGCCAGTGGCTCCCCGCCCATCCCTGGGGGACCGTTGTCCGCACCCTCCACCCCTCGCTCTACCAGAACCGGTAGAGGCTGCTCGCTCCAGAGTTAGTTTTCGCTCTTTTGCATGTTTCACATTTTTGCCTCGCTTGGAACACGTGTCCCTGCCCCCGCCCCTTGGTCTGCAGCCCCTCGAGGCCTCGGCTCCCTCTGGAAGCTCCCCTAAACCGCGCGCGCAATCCCAGGTCCCGCTCTGGAAGACGCGCGCACTGGGGAGCGCGTTCCCGGGGCGGGAAGGGGCCAGCCTCGGTGCCCTAAAGCACGCCGGGGCCAAGTCTGGGGCTGTGGGTTTCTTCAGCGTGGGAGCGTTGGCGCTCGAGCACCACGGAGCCTCACAGCCCGCCGGCCCTGACATCCCTTCCCTGGAAGACAGCTGGGCCAGGTGCCTCCAGCTCTGGGGGAAGGAGGCTGGGGAATGCTGTCACTTGTCGTGGCTAATAAACGGGGCTTGACGCGGAGAGCTGTTTCTAAAATCTTCCTTTAGCTGTGTCCCGGATCCCCCAAACCGCGTCCCACAGCTCAGAGCCGGGAAGAAGCGGCAGGCGGAAGCAGCTGCCGCTGCGGAAGGAGAGGGGCCCGCGCGGTGGGCTCCGGCTGTCCGAGAGGCGCGGGTCCGGTCCCGCTGGCAGGAGCTGCCCGGTTCCAGCCACAGGGCCGCCTCCCTCACGGTGGAACCCGCGCGGGACACAACCCAGCGCAGTTCGTCACCTACTTAAAAAACCGCTGTCGCTAGGATTCCCGCCACTCCTCTCAGACCAGCCCCCAACCCCTGCCACTTTTCGGAGTCCTCCGCCCCCGTCACTGCCTCCCTGGAGCTGCGGGGCAGTCGGACGCGGAGCCGCGGAGCCGCGAGGACGCCCGGCTGGAGCTGCCCTCTGCGGCCAGCCGGCGCCCCCTGCCCTTCGCCGCGGCCTTGGCACCCCGCCGCCTGGCTCCGCTCCTCCCGGCTCTCCTCTCCGCCTCGCTCTCCTCCCGCAGGTCCCGGAGCTCCTGCACCGCTGGGTGCGGCGCGGTAGGCGCGATGCGGCAGCTGTGCCGGGGCCGCGTGCTGGGCATCTCGGTGGCCATCGCGCACGGGGTCTTCTCGGGCTCCCTCAACATCCTGCTCAAGTTCCTCATCAGCCGCTACCAGTTCTCCTTCCTGACCCTGGTGCAGTGCCTGACCAGTTCTACGGCGGCGCTGAGCCTGGAACTGCTGCGGCGCCTCGGGCTCATCGCCGTGCCCCCCTTCGGCCTGAGCCTGGCGCGCTCCTTCGCGGGGGTCGCCGTGCTCTCCACGTTGCAGTCCAGCCTCACGCTCTGGTCCCTGCGCGGCCTCAGCCTGCCCATGTACGTGGTCTTCAAGCGCTGCCTGCCCCTGGTCACCATGCTCATCGGCGTCCTGGTGCTCAAGAACGGCGCGCCCTCGCCGGGGGTGCTCGCGGCTGTGCTCATCACCACCTGCGGCGCCGCCCTGGCAGGTGAGCGGGACCCGCGCTGACCCCCGGCCCCCCACCCCGACCCCACAGGACCGAGACTGTGGGGATCACTTAGTGCACCGCCCTCACTTCCAGGGGAGACTGAGGCAGAGAAGCGGGGAGCCTTGAACGTGGTCGCCTGGCTTGCAAACAGGACTTCTGAGACCCAGCGGAGCCTTTCCCAGAGCTCTAGCCTCCTCCTTCAGAACCCCCACCCACCCCATTTGTCTCGGCTTCCGACCCCCGCGCCTGTCTCAGGGTATCACCCTTCCCGCCCCCACCCCTTGGTACCCCATGACCCCTTCTTTCCCCCGGGAGGGGTGAGAGAGCCGCCGGAGCCAAGGAGCTGGAGTCCCCAGACCGAGCCGGAAGAAGAGGGGCCGTGAACTTCCTCGGGTCACGCCGGGCTGGAGTGAGGGTAGGGAGGACATTCCCAGCCAAGCTTGAGCTGCCAGGGCTAGTTTTTGGGGTCTCTGGCGCCGCGCAGGGGCTTGCGAGGCAGAGGGGCCAGGATGCAGAGCCACGTGCGAGCCCGGCTTGGAGGACTGACGAGATGGGAGCCACCCGGAGCGGGAAACCTCTATTCCGGGGTCCGGGGGGAGGCATTCTTCACCCGGCGCCCAGCCCGCCCGGAGTTAGAAGCCATTAGCTGGAGCTGCCTCTCCCTTCTGGCGCCCTGCGGAGGGGGCAGGGGTACCACGAGCCTAAGTGACCTCCACGTCAGTTCGGGGGAGCCACACGCCCACCCCGAGGGCATCTGCGCTCTCCCCGGGGCTTTTGCGTGGACAGAGGTAGACAGGTTGCCCGGGTATACGGCAGGGAAGGCGCCTCTCCTCCTGTCTCTAACTGGGCATTGACCGATCTTGGCTCTTCATTTCATACCCATGCGCCGAGCGCGGTTGCAAACCCCGTCTACTTTCCAACACAATGCGTTGCCCCAGGGAATCCCCACCCGCGCCAACCCGCTGTCTTCTCTTTCTCCTCCCTGCCCTGGCTCCGCTGTCCTCCTGGTGCGCTGCAGGAGCCGGAGACCTGACCGGCGACCCCATCGGGTACGTAACGGGCGTGCTGGCGGTGCTGGTGCACGCCGCCTACCTGGTGCTCATCCAGAAGGCGAGCGCCGACACCGAGCACGGGCCGCTCACCGCGCAGTACGTCATCGCCGTCTCTGCCACCCCGTTGCTGGTCGTCTGCTCCTTCGCCAGCACCGACTCCATCCACGCCTGGTCCTTCCCGGGCTGGAAAGACCCGGCTATGGTCTGCATCTTCGTGGCCTGCATCCTGATCGGCTGCGCCATGAACTTCACCACGCTGCACTGCACCTACATCAACTCGGCGGTGACCACCAGCTTTGTGGGCGTGGTGAAGAGCATCGCCACCATCACGGTGGGCATGGTGGCCTTCAGCGACGTGGCGCCCACCTCCCTATTCATTGCCGGTGTCGTAGTAAACACCCTGGGCTCCATCATTTACTGTGTGGCCAAATTCTTGGAGACCAGAAAGCAAAGCAACTACGAGGACCTGGACATGCAGCCCAGGGGAGAGGAGGCGCAGCCAAGTGGAGATCAGCTGCCGTTCGTCATGGAGGAGCTGCCTGCAGAGGGTGGAAATGGTGGGTCAGAAGGTGGGAAGGCGGCAGGTGACTCCACTCAGCAGAGCGGGCAAGAGGTGAGGGGTGGCCCCGGAAGAGCCCCACTGGTGGCCAGGAGCTCACAGATCTCAGACAGCCCTGGAGAAGTGAGCAAGAGGTCATTAAAGGAGACTTACCTCGAAGTGTGGAGATTAGTTAGGGGAACCAAATACATGAAGAAGGATTACTTGATAGAAAATGAGGAGTTACCCAGTCCTTGAAGAGGAGATGCCTGTATGTATATATGTACATACACGTATTTTATACGTTAGAGATAACATATTTTGATGAGGGTCCGCCCAATTTTATTCTGTGAGGAGTGGGGACGGGAAGCAAAGAAATGGATGGAAGCCAACAACACTAGCACATCTGTGAATTATTTAGCATGAGTTTACCTGAGGCATCACAGAAACAAAAGAATGTGAAGGTGCTTGACAAAGAAAGGCAGCAGTTTCAGCTGCGGATTCCTGGCACGTAACTTTTTTGTCATTCCAACCATAACCAAATGTCTGCATGTACCAAAGTTCCTCAAACTGCACCCCCTTCCCCCAAGATGGAGTGTAGAAAGGATGACAGCACTTAACTCAAAGATTACACACAGGGGCACATTTTTGATGATTGTTAGAATTACGATTTTTATGACCAGCTGTGCAAAGAATACTTTATTGAAATGACATATATAAACACACTAAATTGATGTTTACTGTTTCTTGTCATCTGAAATACCAAATTTAACCTTTCTTTACTTATGCTTTTTTAAAGTAAGTGCTCTATTCTATTATGTATTGGTAGAAAATGTTAAACATATTCTGAAAATATGAGTTCTTAACTTTAAACATGAAGTTTAAAGTTGGCTTGTGGTATTTATAAAATATTTTTAAGGTGGCTTTCTTTATTGCTTTATGATATTCATTACTGAACGCCAGAACTTTTTTAAAAACCAGGTTCACTGTGTCCAATATTCTTCCAAGCAAACGCAATGGCTGAAATATAATTCAGTATTAACTGAAGCCCAAACCAAAGTGAGACCATCCTATTAAGTTGTACCGCATGTCCCAAACCATGTTACAAAAGGAGCAATGGCTATATTCACTTATGATATTTTTCTATCTTAAATTTGTCAAAATAAAGTATGAATCTATCTGCTAAAAGATAAGTGGTTTTAGACACATTTATGCTCTACTGTTGGTGTGTAGCTTGTGTTTGCCTTTAAAGGGTATTGTCGAGTGTCCACTATGCAGGGGCCACCCTATGGGGAGAGTCCTAAATTAGCATGACTATTTAGTTTAGAACAACCACCACAGTAAACACACTCTTATTTTCCAGCCAGGGAAACTGACAAAGTGAAATACAATAGGCCTCAGGCTGCAGGTTGAAAGCCATCCACAGCTGCATTCAGTTTGTAAGGAGTTTGAGCTTTAATAACAGAATGCACTGAGAGGGAAGCCTTCCTGTCAGCCCCGTCCAGGAGAGGTACTTTAAGAGTGAAAGCCCTCTTACTTGTTAGCATGTTCCTGAGACTGTCAAATGGTAGCATCCTATATTTTTCTTTATTTTCTGAAAAACCCACAAAGCAAAAGCAGACGCAAAGTGAAGTCTCAGCTCTATCAATTCTCACTCAAGGAGCTGGTATGTGTGATTTTGGTGGTTTGTGATTGGTCCTGGTTTACTGAATGTCAGGGTTAGTTGATTATTTCTGTAGGTAACTCTATAAACCATTTAAGTTAGAGGGGCCCTCACTGGGTTGCAGTTAGAATGGTTGGCTTGGTTCATGTTATCTTCTTTAAAAATAAGCATTAATTTTAATGTCAGCTTGCTACAAACCAACATCCTGTTGCAACTCTGTGAGGCTGAGAATTAATGAAAAGAAGCAAAGTTGATTGAATGTATATATATTTTAATACCACTGCCAGATATATGGATAGGATGATTGTTTTTCACTAAAAAAATCCCCTTTTTAGTTAATGCTATGGGCTTGCATTTATTGCAAAAAAATGAACTCTTACCTGTCAATGAACTTGTAGAGTTTGTTGGGTTAGAGTTCTCCAGAGAAACAGAACCAAGAGGGTGTATGTATCTCTGTATCTATGTTTTTCTATCCATCTATCATATCTGTCTATCTTCATCTATCTATATCACAGACTAAGAGAGGGAGGGATATTTTAAGGAATTGGTAATTGTGGTGGTTGGCAAGTCTAAAATCTCTAGGACAGGCTTGCAGGTAGAAAACTCAGGTGGAATTTTTCTCTTGCAGTCTTGAAGCAGAGTTGCTGCTGTTTCTGCAAACCTTGGTCTTTGCTTTTAAAGCCATCAACTGATTAGGTGAGGCCCATCCACATTATGGTGGGTAGTCAGTCCCCTTTACTCAAAATCTACTGGTTGTAAATATTAATTACATCTCACAGATGTCTTTACAGCAACATCTAGACTACTGTTTGGCTAAATGACTAGGTGCCATGGCCTAGCCAACACAGACACCAATGGTAGGAGGGGACAGAGTTCAGGGGTTGAGTACAGGGAAAACCCTGGGAGATCGAAAGTGGAAGTTCTGTGACATCCATTGGTTTGTGCAAAGCTTGGAAATCTCTGGATGACACGAAAGTAAGTCATAGGGCAAGGCAAAATGTGTCAGTGCCTGGAGCTCAGCCACAGGAGAGCATAAACAGGTGGCAGGCCTTGCCTAGCTTCCAAATCCTTCCTCCATTATCAGTAACGCTGGAGCCCATCTATAGATTTAGGTTCTCCCTGACCATTGAGCTTTAGTAAGGCTTTGAGTTAGGTAGGAATGAGGCTTTTGAGGCATTTCAAGATATCACAGCAGGAGGGACTGAACTGGAAGTCGTCACTGTTGCTTAAATGACCCTGTCTTTGTGCCCCATTCCTGGCAAATTGGATTCTCCCTTTTTCTGAGATTATGCACCCACTTTGTGCCCACTTGGGTGTCTGGTCCCTGACTTGGCCATCTGTTCCTCTGTTAGTTCTTCAGGATGGAGGCCCTGCCTCATACCCACTTGCCACTTCTCAGCTGGACTCTGTGGAACACAGTATGATGTCAGACAGACGTTCTCAGTGCTGGCCCTGCTGCTAGCCCTCTCCCCTAAATGCTGTCTAGCCCTCTCTTATTAATTATGATGTGATCATCAGAAGCACTGGGACATATGAGTGCCCCAGTGTGCAAGTGAGAGGGTATGGGCATGCTACTGTGGATGGAGGGCAGAGCTGAAGCAGTGACCTAACTTCTGTAAGATAACCATCCTACAAAAGTCATCACTTGTTGTCAGAGGGCCTAACAGTCTGTGTGTTTTATAGCACTACTTCACTGGAGACAAAGCTCGGTGGAGCCTGCAAGTCCTTAACCCACTGAAGGGGGACTTTTTGCATTTTAATTTGGGGAATTTCTATTGACCTGTCTTCAAGCTCATTGAGTCTTTTTTTCCAACCTGATGATGAGCACATCAAAAGCATTCTTTATTTGTTGTCACAATGTTTCATTTTTTTTAAAGTTCTAGCATTTCCTTTTGATTCTTCCTTGGAGTTTCCACCTCCCTGATTACATTACCCATCTGCTCTTCATGTTGTCTACTTTTTCTATTAGAGCCATTAGCATATTAATCACAGTTTTAAAAATCCCCTGTCTGATAATTCCAAAATCTGAGTCACATTGAGTCTGGTCCTTATGCTTGCTTTGTCTATTCAGTCATGTTTTATCCTTGCTGTTTAATGTGCTTTATCTTTTTTGTTGTTGTTATTGAAAGCCACATGATGTGTGGGATATTAGGAACTGAATTCACTAGGCTTCTAGTGTGAGATTTCATGACAATACAGCTAGAAGTTGGGCTCTGTGTAATGTTTGTTGCAATTACAGGTGCCAGAGGCTTCAGATTCCTCTAGTATCCTTTTTTAAGTTCCCTGTTGTCTTTGAGCTTCTCTGAGAATTCCTCCTTAGATAGAGTTCTACACACTGCTGCTCTCCCAGCTGTAATCCACTCTTAGCATGCTGAGTGGAGCCATGTTGGTGTGCTCATAAAATGTAGGGGAGGGGAAGTGTTTTACAATCCCATTATTTTATCTTAGTCTTTTAGTGTGCTGTGTGGCTTGGCTGTGTGTCCCTCCCCTTAGATGGGACAGGAAGGCCAGAGGAAGGCCTAGAGTAGGAGAAATGCCCCTCCCCAGAGTGGGATAAGGTTCTGAAGTCTTTGCTTTGGGAAAGTAGGCCTTTGTTATAGAGAACCCGCTGGGGCATATTTCACAATGATTATTCTTTCCTTCCCTCTGCCAGAGTGCCAAAGTTTTCAGGGAGTCAAAATGGGTGCTCCCCTAAGACTGGTCCCCAGGAGTTTCTCACTCTCATGATAGTCTGTATTCAGTCTCCAGAAATTTGTAAAATTTACCATTTAAGTGTTTCTACCAATTTATAGCTCCAAAGGCTCTACTTTGGATAAGATCTTTGCTGTAACTTTCTGGATTAACAGAAACAGATTTGGAGTGGCAGTTTGCTCTGTGACTTCAGTTCTCTGATAGGTCCTAGAAAAGTAATTGATCTTGTTTGTTCATCTTTTTCTTGTTGTACGGGTGGAAGTCACAACTTCCAAGCTCTTTACATGTTGGAGCTGGAACCAGAAGTCCTGACTGAAGACTTTTGAGAAGCCTGCTCAATTTCTGTAAAGACAAAAGTTGTTAAGGGAAGCTAGACATTCCTAAGGAAGGTTCCAAAAGGAAAACACACAAAGCTACTGGTCCTTCTTGTACCTCCTGCACCACTCCACCCCCACACCTCATGTTGAATTCTGGCCACTCCTGCACACAAGGCATGATGACACATGCATGAGTGTGGGCAAATTTTGCATGCCAGTGCGTTGTGACCAAAAGTCAATGCTCATTGAGATTGGAGTGTCATGGTAGGTGTCCAGAGTATCAATTCTCCCTTGTCTGTCTTGGGCTACTTTATTCTGGCATAAAAGAAATCTCTCCTTGTAACTCTGGGAGGAAAATCCTGGGGCAAAATACCTTTGAAATCAAAACCAATCAAAGGGAGAAATAATTAAGAAGCCCTTTAATTTCTTACAAGCAGTCTTCCCATCTCTCTCCTGACCAGGCTGCAGCAGAAGAGAGTTCCACCTCACCTCTCTGGTCCAGATGAGCCCTCATAGGCCCACGTAATTACCTATTGATGTGTAGATGGACTTCTCTCCATCACTTGGAAACACCTACTGATATGCAGATGCACCAAAGTCAGGCCAGAGATTCTGGAAATATTGCAATTTTATGCACACTCCTTTTCCCATGTTTCAAGTATCTGCTGTGACGCCTCAACTGTCACGTTACCCTCCAAGTGATAACTGCTGACCTGACTCATCTGTTGCTTCCATTACTGGATACCATGTCAGGTCTGCCAGGCTGGACTTCATCACAGCATATGCTGAAATTATATCTTCTCCCTGAGCCCCCTGCCCCCTACCCTGGACCATGACACACACAACAACTACTTATGATTCTGGATGTATTCCTCTCCAAACCTGCTTTGTCCTGCTCCTGAGATGAAACAGCAGGGTTTGGAAGAGAGCCTGTGAGGAGAACAAAGTAGAACATAGAGTAGCAGGATGCATGACTAGTAAAATGGATTCTTAATCCTCTTTGGGGACCATCCCCTCCTACGTCTCAGTTCATGTGGTTCAGATGTTATTGACTTCATCTTTCTACCCTCAGTGTAAGATTCAGGCCAATCCAATCAAAGCATTTATTTCCTCCCCCTGAACATTCAGGTCAATCAGGCATGGTCATAGGACCTGGTCAGAGCCAACGAAGTGCAAGGATACTTCTGACAAAACTTAAGTTGCATATTTTTTTCTTAGTGGACTTGAACCTAGGAGATGGGGTGGGTGGGACAGACATGTTGCTGCCGTCTTGTCACCAGGAAAAGATGTAATAGAAAGGAAACAGCTCAGAGAGGTATACCATGGAGGGAGCGGGGAGAGACAGACTGAGTGCTGGTGTTCTCACACGGCCCTGCGGTTAAACTGACTTTCACTGAAGTTAACAGTATCGCTCAGATTGTCAGTTACATAAAACAAAGTCTTTTCTGTTGTTATTTGCTTAACTCATTTTGAGTTGGGATTTCTGCCAC